ATCTCATTTAAAAAGATTAGTATCTCACTTTTCACATCATTTTATGAATGACTATAAAATTTATCAGTATCAATAAGAATCGTTTAGTTAAAATCCTATGTGGTTAATAAAATCATATATAAAGACAGAATTTGTTAAGTTTATTTAAAAGCTTAAGGTTAAAAACATCACTTAAGGTAGAATAACTGTTTCCATTAGCATACTGCCTGCTTTTATACTCTTGGAAGATTAGTTTTCGTTCAAATAAACAATTTGTAATAGCAATAAACTTTTTAATCACCACAAAATAATCCGTAGGTCTAGTGTATTTCTACCTCAGTCTACTTCATGTCCAGCATTTTCAGATGAAGAAATAAAGCTGACAGATGCTAAGTTGGAGATCCTGGTAATCTCTAGTTAGTGACTGAGTTGATTTTAACACAGGTCATTTAAATCTAAAGATGTTATGACCAAAAAAAACAAAGACTGATATTTTACAGATTTGCAAAGGACTGTAGTATTTGCCACTATTAAAATATGGTTAAATTGACCAGGAACAGCTTTTGGGGGGCTAATTATTTGTTGGGAACATGTGCTTACTAAACTGAAGGGTTACCATCCAAAGGTGAAGCTTTGGAGACAAGCTCTCCAAAGACCCTGGACTTCATGGGAGCAATGATGATGCAATAAGATGACAAAATGACTGACAAGAAAATCTAACCCAGGACCAAGCGCTTAGGTGAAAAAAATCTGTGTGTGATACACCAGCAAAACAGATTCTAGCTTCCAGGATAACATGCATTATAATTTGTATTCTACAGAAAAAACTCAAAACGCAGAAAGCAATCACTTTGTCATAGATTTACAGACTAATAATCAGCAAGATAATTGGAGCTGCACCCTCTCATCTCCTTATTGATAATAATTATAGGTACCAGTAATTGAGGCCCTGCTGTACACTATGTAGGAGAATATTTTGTAGAACAGCTTATTGAATTCTCACAAAAATTCCATGAAAGATGCAAGAAAACTGAGGCATTGAGAGCTTAAGCAATTTGCCCAGTGATCTGAAAGATGAAGAAGAGGAACCAGGGTTAAAATTCAAATAGCAGTCTTATAAAAGAAGTTTATAGAAACATTTTAAATATGCAAAATCTACAAAATAAGATAAGCTTCAACAAGTATCAACTTATGCCAGTATTTTCCTATATATCCCCACCCACTTTCTCCCTTCCATATTATTTTGACAAAAGGTTCGTCACAAATATATCGAAGACACAGAAGAAAGCAAGACAATTTTCAGGTGCAGATAATGGGGATGATATATTTGACGGCAGCATTCGTTTCTAAAGTGTTCCTGGCCAACCAAGAATCAGAAAGAGAATTATGATTATTATAGCCAGTTGTATCCTAATACTTCTGAGGAAAAATAAGAACCCTCATGATGGCAGGATGTGAAGAGGTGATTGTAACAAAATATAGCAGAGAAGATCTTGAAGTTGATTATGACCTTTTCACCATGAGACAGCAGGGCAGACTATGATTTTAAAACTAGTCAATCAAAAAGCTACATCGGTGTGTAAAGTAGTAAGATCAAAGCTCTGATGAAAAATACTCATTCGTTTCTGCTTCTCCAGAACTTACAGAAAAGAAAGAAAACTAAAATGCAGGACAATACATCATAAGCTTATATATAAGGAGTTTGGAGGGGGAATCATTGTTATCTGGAGTGGTTAGGACGAATATTATAGAGGAGGGGCAATAATGGGTACACTTTAAAGGATTGTTAAAATAGAAAGAGAAGGAAATGAGTAGGTGGAGTATTCCACAAAACGTAATGATATGAACAGAAACAGTAGCTAGGAATAAGCACAGTATGTTCAAGGGACAGCGTAGATCAGCATCTTAAAAATATGCACGTTTGCATGCATCAATGGTACATCAAGTAGTTCTAGTGTGAGACTCATACCATCTTGTTCTTGGTTTAGTTTAACCATGAGGCAACTTGAATAAGCCATTTAACTTTATTGGGTTTCTGTTTCTTTACCTGTGAAAAGAGAGTATTGGACTAGCTTAGAAGTTCCATGATTTCTGGGACAAGTAAAGTTTTTTGAACATTGAGTAAGTTAATTTCTTATTAAGGTCAAAACGAAATCCAACAAAATAACAACAACCTGCCATCTGCTATCAGAATCATTTTTCAAAGGAAGGTATATTTAAAATGAGAGCAGGAGCTAGTCTCAGAAATGTGTGTGTGTATGTACGTGTGTGTGATAATTTATACTAAAACTAACTAGATTGCTCTCATTTTTTTCTGATTTTGATATAAACTAATAAGAACCTCATCATAGAGTCCACCTGACCAGCATTTGGGAACCATAGACTAGCTGATACTTAACAGTCCCTTTATGACATTCTAAGAACTCATAACTGGGATAATTTCCCCATCATACTCTACCCATGCTTGTTGAGCAAGCTAGTTAATACCCCGATGCCCTGTCTAGTCCTTAAATATATGGCATATTATTGGGTCTGATGTCAGAACAATTCTTGTTGGGGATACAGATAGGTAGGACAGAAAAAATATCTTGTTGGAAGCTAGGAGAATTGTCTTCTAGTCTGCATTTTGTCACTCCTAGCTACATGAGCTTGTTTGTGTCATTAAACCTTTTCTAAAAATCACCTGGAAAAATGAAATTAACATACTGCCTTACCTATCTCACTGGATTGTTGTGAGGTAAATAATATAACTTTCTTTCAATTTTTTATAAACTTTAAAGCTACAAAAATACAAAGTTTTAATAAAATTCTGATATGTGAAATCCCCCAAATGGATATGAATTTGCTAGTAATTCTGGGTAGATTATAGAGTTATGATTTTAATAATTAAAATGACTCTCTAAGAACTAACCTGCAAAAATCACAAGCCTGAAGTTGTTTTTTTATGCTAAATCTTCAGGAAAAAAAATGTATATAATTCACCCCAAGCAGTTCCTATGGTTATAAAATTTGAGGATCACAACATAATCAAAATTGTCAGCCATCCAGATATATCATTTTTTTCTCTCCACATCTGAAATTTATCTGCACTTTGACATTAAACAAATGTTACGAGAGCCACTAGAATTAAAATTCAACAATGTATAAAAGCAAGCACGAGTGGAAATTAAGACTTGGACAGAGAAGCCCACAAACTAATGATGAAATGTAGGCAGTAACTTTTTTCCAAATGAAAGGAAATGTGCCTTTTCTTGGTTGGAGAACGCTAATTATCAAAGATTTGGCAGAAGTCTACCACTTCTAATTGCATGAAATTAGCAACCTGGCATTTCTGAAACTGGCATCGATCACGACTACATCGTGCAGTTAAATCTCCTCCTACAAGGTGGCTGTTCTGGTGATTTGCTGTCGCTGAAAATACTTCACTCTTGTTATTTCTCTGTAAACTGTTTCTGTCATGAATCTTAGATACATTTATGTATGTTTAGAATCATCCGCATTTTCATATTCAAATTTATAATGATAGTTGATCACTGAATTGGGAACTAGACTTTTTTCCCACTATCAACAGAGCAGTGATAAAGTGAACAAAGTATTATTTCGAAAGAACTCAGAAGTAGGTAATTTCAGATATATTTTCTGTAATTTTCATGGAAGACACGAAAATAGGAATGTAGGTACCATGATAATTGACCAGTATACATTTACGTAACACTCAAAATTGGAAAGATATCTTCCTAACAGAGCAGTTACTATAAACTCTCTTGCAATTTTCTTTTTAGCTGAAAACTATAGATTGAATTATATTTTCCATGAGGAAGTGGACAATTTCTATCTTGCTCCTGCTGTATCCCCAGGGCCTCATAAATTGATGGTGCCCAGGAGGTATTCCATAAAGCTTTGTTGAATGTATGAAAGAGCAATCTTCAGCACTTCAAGTCTCAGATATGATGGAGAAGTTTAAAAATATTTCTGATTTATGTTATGAAATCTTAAAATATAGGAATGATCACATGAATTTGAGTTAATAGAATACCAAATTTTTGCTTAACATCCTACATCAACATGGAACAAAGCCAATGGAAGAGAGAAAGGCAAAAGGCTATATCATTTAATATTTTTCTCCATTACCATTCATAAGGATGATTTATTTCCTATGCCATACTTTTTGAATAAAAACACTTCATCTTTATATATCTAGTTGAATGACTATTGAAAAGTTTTTTAATACCATAGAGCATTTGGTTATTCAATGTGTTTACATTTATAAACTAAAAACAGTAACTCAATTAGTTAGACCTAAATTTAAAGTCCAAAAGTAATGCTTTGTATAATAAATTTTAGAGAAATTATACTAGCAAATTTATTTTATTTTATTCTAAGTATCCATGTATCTATTGGCCATAAAATATCAACTAAAGTTGATATTGTTTTGGCATTCCAATTAAAACTGAAAGAACTATTCTCCCAAAAGTTTGGATAAATTTTCATGTTGTTGACACAAAAACTTGCTTGAATGTTCATATAATTTTAATTTTAAATGTAGATCTGTGACAGTGTTAGGTTTATCAAAAGGATCTTTGATGATTTGGCTAAAGTTTTTCTCTAATGACAGGATATTTATGCAGAAAGGTATAGATTTAAAAATCACTCGTACTTAACACATCAAAAGAATTACGTACTTTCTAACACAAGAACAAACAAGTAAAACATACTGTGTACTGACAGATTTGAGCCACACCCTAAGAAAATACAAATTCTCTCCTTATGCAGGAGAGTAATTACATGGGGAAAATAATCTGTTCCATTTATGATTTTTAAAAAGTTGTTTGACTTGGTTGGAAAAGATAAAAGATATTTTAAACTACTATTGATATAATTCCTAGAAGAAAAAAATATGTTATGATAAAAATATGTTGTGGTAAAACTATCGTTGCAACATTGCTTTCTTTGTAAACACATCCTTTGTGATTCTGTGGCCACGTGTCCCTTTTTACTGATTGCTTTTACTGTTGTTCTAGGTCTGGACAAAGTGCCAAAAGATCTTCCCCCTGACACCACGCTGCTGGACCTGCAAAACAACAAAATAACTGAAATCAAAGATGGGGACTTTAAGAACCTGAAGAATCTTCATGTAAGAATTTTTTTTTTTGAGTTGTAACAGGATCTGACTCAAAGTGTTCTTTTAAAACAAAACTTAGGTAAGGCCAGGAGTACTATATAGTAATTAATAAGCACACAAATGTTTATTAAATTCTCTTTTTGTGGGTGGTGATGAAGCAAAGTATCAAATTCATTAATCTCTAAAAAATCATCCAATTTTCTTACAATATACCCCATATATCTTTAGTATTTGCTTCATAAAAAATACTTTATATCTTAATCTTCTCTCATGTTTCATGTAAAAATCTTTATCTTCCCAGTTAGTTGTACTTCAATAGTGGAACAAAACACAAAATGGATTGATCTTAGTATTATTTTATTTCTTTGTTTCCGTTGTCTTTCATTCATTTTCTAAGAGGTGCAAATGACTTTGTAAAGGCTCAAAGATCACCACCAAGAGAAAAAGGGATAAGATGTATATTTTGTTTAGTAAATATAATTCCATCTTAAAATATGTATGTATTATGCACACTACATCCTTATCCGTATCTGTTTTTATTGTAATTTTCACTTATCTCTACTTCATTATAATGTAACACATCCAGTCTACCAGTCAGGATCCCAGCAGAGAAGAGATAACACTCTCAAAAGGGTTTCACAGAGCAGACTTTACTGAAGGGACTATTTTTAAAGGGGAATGGGAACGAACAAGGCATTGGGAAACACCCAAGCCCACAAGGCCTGAAGAACTAGGGAGTCCCAGAGCCTTGGGAGAGCTGGGGAGCTAGAGTCCTACCTCTTGATTTCCTGCCAGTGTCTCCTATGGTTGAACCTAACTGGAGGCCAGAGGACAAGGGCATCTGGGTGATGCAGTCCCCAGAGATCAGCCTCCCAGGACATAGGGGAAGGTCAAAAAAGGCAAAGAATGAATATATCTGTAGTTGGAGGAGGGTGTGTTATAAATGCAGAATGACTAACCCAATCAAATGATGTTAAGCCTTGCTAAGGAAGCCTTCTGTAACAGTAAATGCATTTTCTGTTCACATAGGGCAATAGAATCCTGATAACATTTGTTCTCTAGTCCAGCTCTCTACCTGTGGGGTGATGATGATGTGGTTTCCTCTCAAAATATCAGTGCCCATTTAAATAAGCCAGACTTCAATGCCCAAAAGAAATATTGGAAGTCTCCTTCTGGTAGGCTACTCTTGAAGCATTGAGTCTGGTCCTGGGCAAGACATTTTAAGAGGGACATTAACCTTTGAGATCTGGAAATCATGTCTTATAGGCACAGTTGATAGAGATGTGGATATCTAAATTGTATTTTAAAGTCACAAATGACATATTTGAAGGACCATGTTAGAGAACAGGAATTGAATTTACTTGCTTCAACTACAAGATGACAGAATTGTTCTACTGACAATTGAATGGGAATTTCAGGGAAGCAGACTTTTGTTCAACATTAAAAATACAATGTAAAAAATTAGAATTTTCAGAAAATGGAGAGGATTGCCTAGTGATGAGTTATGTATTTGTGGAGATAAGAGTTCACAGCTTCTTACAAGGAATATCAGAGAAATACATGCTTAAGACTGGGAGCACATACATAGAAAACTCTAATTTCATGTTCATTTATCTCTGCTAGTCATTATAGAACATAATTGAGGGGATATATAATTAGAATAGGCAATACATATAAAATATAAATGTAACAGATCATCTGGCTGCTATATATTAGAATAAGAAATATAGATACAAGGGAAATAATGTAAAGTAAAAATAAACTGTTCATAATGTACTGTTGAGTTAATATAATTAAGAGAAGATTTAGTTATGAACTTTCTGACAGCCAAGATGAGAAAAGCAATAAACATTTACCCATTAGGAGAAAATATATCAAATTTTTTTAAAGGAAGTGACGATTTTTCCTTAAGATTTTCCATGGATCAGTTAATAAAGATAACAACACATAACAAAATGGCATAGTCAGTTTACTAAGTGCCCAACAATATCAGAACAACATGCTGTAAATAGTGGGTGTTATGGGCACCAAGTAAGAGAAAAATCAGACGTCATCCTACATCGGGTTACCAGTTAGTGTTTTGAAAGAATATGAAACAAAGTGGTCTTAGAGGATTAGCAGAATTTTGAAAGGAAGAGAATAAAAGAGGGCTTTCTGTGCAAGACGAAAGGAAAGGCAGAAGAAGATAAGCAGCACATAAATAAAAATACAAGCTGGGTAGAGTGAAAGGAACAGGCTCTGAAACGTGGAGGATAAGGCTGGAGCTAGAGATCTTAAACCTTGGACCAAGGGGATCCATCTCCACTGACAGGACACAGGGCCTGAGCCCTCACTCACCTTCTCTCTGCTTTCACGTTATAGTTTCCCCGGGAGCGAGCTGATGGTGATACCAACAAGATTTGTCAATTACCGTTTAAACTATCGTTAGAATAAGTTATCACTATTTAAAGAGGTGATAATAAAAAGCGAATATCATTAGTTTCAATAAACTAAAATATTAAAAACCTTCATTTTATTTTCATAATACCTTAAAGCTACTTTTGTAAGGAAGGAAAATTCTCATACGCTAATCTCAACTTCCTGTATATTTAAGTATAATCTGAATAATTTGTTTAAACTCTTCATATCTTTAAATAAGAGATATCTCGTTTCTGTGATGTTCTCATTAAATCTGGCATTTGTAACACTGTGTTCTTTCTTTTCCCAAGTCTCCTTCTAAGCATGTTTTTAGGCAACCATCATCTTGGCAATCTCTTTCTTTCTGCTTCAAAGTGTACATCAGAAGAAGAGAGAGAGCTTATTAGGGCTTCCAACCGTTCAGAGGATGTTAAACAGCTATTTTTCTCTTACTCTTTCATTCATGATCATTTCTATCCTTGGTATTATGCAAATGAACATCGTAATTTCAGCCAGGAAAGCCACATTTGAGTGAGAAGGAAGGAGAGAAATGAATATTTAGCAAGGATTAAAATAGAAAGGATTCAACAGAAAAATGTTCCTTTTTTCTCAATAATTCTATCAATTTACTACTGTGTGGCTCATTATGAATGGTACATGTTGCATAAGAGTAGTTTTATACCTATATATAGTAGAAAAACTACATAATTATTCTATAAAATAATGGGAAGTGGAAAAATGAAGGATAGTAATGCCAACATTCAATATTTTTCTTTTGAATTAAAGCTTAATAAATCTAGTAAGGAAATTTTTTTAAATTAAAAATCAACAAAAAAATTCTCAAAGATTGAATAATAGCAAATATTTGTGTAGCTATTACTATATACTAGGCAGTGTTCTCAGTACCTTATATACATTAACTTATTTAATCCTTATAACTATTCTTTGAGGTAGACACTCCTGATAACCCCTTTATATAGATGAGGACACTTAGGCACAGAGAGGTTAAGTTACTTGCTCATAGTCACACAGCAAATAAGAGCCAGAACTTGAGATCAAAACTCAGGAGTAGTCTGGCTTGAGTCTATGTGCTAATAATTGCCTATAAATATGATAGTAACCATAATAGCCCTTACAACAATACCTGGTATAGTGTAAGCCCTACATAAGTGGCTTTGCAGAAAATTGTACAGAATATTACGTGAAGCGTCAACATTTAACCCAAAATAAAACAGATTTTTCAGACCTTTTTTAATGCATTTAATTATATCAAGCATTCAGAACTTTCTTCCATAGATGGCAATTGAGGATCTTCAATAGAGGATCTCTTTTGCGTTTGTAAATAAGCATACACCATTTTGAATGTTTTTTTAACAACACAAGTCCTCTCAACCCTTCTTTCCTCTAGCTCTGCCTTTTACTGATTTCCTGGACATTTTGCTTGTGAATATCAATTCCCTATGACCTCAACCTTCATAAGTTTTTAACTTTCTGTAATATTCATTGGAATTTCTTAGGATTTTGTTTTCATCAACCAATGCATCTTTTAGGATTAGTTAAAAGATTACCTTACTTGTAATAAATTTTAATTAGTCAAATAATGTGAATTACATGAGAATGTACAGGGTTAATTAACCAGCTGTTACCTTCAGAAAATATTCTTGCATTTCTGAGAGAGTTCTCACTGTTCTATTATACTACTTCCTTTTTTGCCCCTCTGTATTTTCATATATACATAAAAATGTACTACAATAGAAAATGCAAGTTTCTTAGACTTTGAATCTTGGGTTTTTTTTCTTTTTTTGATCATTTATTGTTATTTATTTATTTTTTTTTTTTGTGAGGAAGATCGGCCCTGAGCTAACATCTGCCAATCGTTGTCTTTTTGCTGAGGAAGACTGGGCCTGGGCTAACATCCGTGCCCGTCTTCCTCCACTTTATATGGGACACCGCCACAGCATGGCCTGACAAGCAGTGCGTTGGTGCGCACCCGGGATCCAAACAGGCAAACCCAGCGGAGCCGCTGCAGCGGAGCATGTGCACTTAACTGCTTGCGCCATTGGAACGTCCCTAAGTTTCTTAGACTGTGATAAAATTATCCTAAATTTCTTAGGGTTAGCTGATAAGGCAACTTAAAATAATGAGAACAGTGTGGTTCTGTAGACATACAGATCATTGGAAGAGAATCAGGTAGTCCAAAATAAGCAATAGCTATAGGTGTAATAATAATAATGAATTAGAAGTAATTTCTTATGTTAGGAGAACTCAGAAACAAAAATTTAAATATTACCAAAAATGTTAATATATTCAACTATATAAAACTTTTATATGTAAAAAGGGCAAAAACAGAAGAAAAATATATAAAGGCTCTGAATATCATATTAACTACATCTTTATTCTGTAAACTAATTATTAAAATATATTAAAATTTAAGAAAAATGAGAAGTATTGTGATCAGGCAATCCTTTCCCTCTAAAAAATATAGGAAATGGTAGCAAAATAAAAGGAAATTCTTTTAACCTTTCTAGTGACGAGGAAATGCAAAGTAAAGCAATGAGCTACAACATAATGTACTAATTTGGCAAACTTTTGAAAAAGATGCTATCTAAATTTGCAAGGCTGCAATAAAATTTTACTCTCTTGCCACCTTTTTGTAGTGGAATCCATGAGAACAGTCAATGGAGATGGACATTTAGGTTGAGAAGCTGGTTGGGGGATGGACGCCTGTGTCACTGGATTCTTTTCATGTATCTTGGGACACTCTGGTAATTTCAAGGTTTAGGAGTATTTCTTGTTTAAAAATTATATATATATGTATATATATAATCCATATTTCATGACATTTCCTTTCCCTTTATTCCTGATGTTCAGGTCCCTAGACACGTCTTATGTAAAAGAATCACATCTGCTTAATTTTTTCTGATTTCTTGCAATTTTGCAGATTTCTCTGTGCATCCTATGGATGGAATGAATAGACCACACACTTGTTTTATAGATATGTGGAAGGTTTTGGAACTAGGAAGATGTTGTTTTTGTTCACTATCTACAGGCGTTGATTCTTGTCAACAACAAAATTAGCAAAATCAGCCCTGGAGCATTTACACCTTTGGTGAAATTGGAACGACTTTATCTGTCTAAGAATCAGTTGAAGGAATTGCCAGAGAAAATGCCCAAGACTCTTCAGGAGCTGCGTGTCCATGAGAACGAGATCACCAAAGTGCGGAAAGCTGTGTTCAATGGACTGAACCAGATGATTGTCGTAGGTACAGATATTCTTGTAACCCTAAGACCAGGAGTAAAGGTTCATCTTAAGAGGTCCCAAGTAAGCTTTAGCTGCAGAAGGTAAATTAGCTAGAATTTTTATGTCTTAAGCCTATAGGAATAATAGCAGCAGAGCAGGAAGAAATGGAATTTTGAATCTGTGCCTTAACAACGTTTTTATTCCTTGTCCTTGAGGATCTCAGAATGTGGAGGAAGCTCTAGGAGGAAATTACCCTACTGCATGCCCAAGACACAGGATGGAATTAAGTAGTGCTAATTAGAGATATTTAAGGATACTTTTCCTTTGTGGGGATTTGTTATATTCTGAACATCTATAAGTCATTTGCTTTAAAAAAATATGTTAAAATGTTTTGCTATATCTGTGGTCAAAAATTTTGACTTTATAATTGGCTTACAAAATACATTTTAATGTATCTTACGAAAGAAATAGCTGCAAAATGTGTGATTTATAAACACTTGCTTTTATTGATTTCTAGGCAAACTTGTATATGTACCTTAAATTATTTGTTCTTATGGTTTTTGCTACTATTGCTTTTTCATAATTTTTTTAAATAAGTGAAATGTTTACTCCATTTTGCTATCCCTTTGAGGAGCATGATCTTTAATTTCTCTTTCATTTTTCAGTCACATTGTTATTGACCCAAGTTTCTGTTAAATTCCTTGTTGAAACGGACGCTACTCTGACTTGCAAAATCCTAAAGTTGTCCTCTAAAAGCTTTGCACTTATTGCATTTGTAGAACTGGGCACCAACCCACTGAAGAGCTCAGGAATTGAAAACGGAGCCTTCCAGGGAATGAAGAAGCTCTCCTATATCCGCATTGCTGACACCAATATAACCACCATCCCTCAAGGTGATAGAAAATTCTCCAAAGCAATTTGAAAATCGAAATCCAAACCCTCTGAAATTTAAAAAATTGTCTTGGAAATCTGAATGGTGACTCAGTGGCCAACTTTATTTCCAGTAAATTCTCTATCTCTGGAAGTGTTTCTACCGAGCGTGGGTGACCACTGGGCCCTCCATGCTCACTGTAGAGATGGCTAGACCCTTTTACCTATCAAGTCTCTTCTATGATGTAATAACACACAATGATTTTATACTACAGAATTGTGATATCACAGAGAAAAAAGTACGGTTATTTAAAAAATAGAATGCCTTAGTGGTACTTTGTAAAAACAAAAATGATACATGGAAGTACCTCTGAAATTGAACCAGTTTTTACTTTGAGTTTCCAATCCCTTAGTGCATTCCTTTCCGTCTAAGACATTCCAGTCATTACCATCTGAAGAAGAGGATCCACAATGGCCACACTTATTTAGTAGTGACAGTTGTGTATTGTAAAGAGTGTGGATTCTGGATTCTGTTTGCTTGAGTTCAGATTGTCACTGATTGGCTCTAGGAACTTGGACAAGTTATTCAACATCTATGCTTCAATTTCTTTATCTGTAGAGTGGTGATAATACTAATATCCACCTCATTGGGTTGTTTTAAAATTAAATAAATAATTAGAGAAATATCTGGCATGTAGATAAGAAGTGGATTAATATTACCTTTTATTGTTCATTAAAAATATTTTGAACACTCATTTTGCTTAGGCAAAGTACCAAATGCTGGAGACAGGAGAGCAGATAGAATATACTACCTGCCTTCAAGGAGCTTGTTGCCCAGAGCAAAGCCAGACGAGTAAACAGCAATCGCCCCACAGTCATGGGGGTCAGGTCATCATGCTAAGGGCTACCCAGAAGAGGCACATAGGCCCATCTTTGTGAATCAGAAAAGACTTCAAATCACCAAAAATAAATTCCTCTCATTTTCACATTTTTACCTGCCCCAGGTTTTTCAGTCTCACAAAAGCTCCTCTATATTTTCCAATTTTCCCCTCTGTCTGGCCCTTTCTCAATTTAGATATCTTGTTCTTGGACTGAGTACAAAATGTAGGCACTTGCCCACAGAAAGCAATTATCCTTTCTTGTAATTTCACAGAAACTTCAACTTCTGAGAGTGCATATTCCATCAAATGGTTTCTTACCACCCCTTGCCCTCTGCACAGTCTTTTTGCTACAGAGGATGTTTTTGATGCCCATGATAGGAACTGCTGGTGTAGACAGATTAGATAGATAGATAGATAGGTAGATAGATAGATAGATAGATAATAGGTAAAGATAGGGAGAACGACTGATTTCTAGTCTGTAAAGCACTTTCGTGTTGTCTCCAACTTGTTGCATGTAGCAAGTGACTTTTTTTTAACCCCAGGGCAGAGATATATACATATGTATATATGTATTTTTAAATATATTTTTATTTATATTTTTAATATATTTTAATAATATATTTCATCGTATATTTATATTTTAATATATTTTGTATTATATATATCTTGCCTAAAGCCATAGAGCTGTAGGAGGTGAAGTAAAGTAGCTGGAATTTAAAGTCCAGGTCTTTTCCACCACTTTGTGCTGCGAGAGGAGCTGCGTTAAGCACAGTCTTTGATTTTGCTGTCCTTCTTAAGGCATCCTCCAAAATATCCCTCAGGAACACATCTCATCACTGAGTGATCTCTTTTCCTTGACTCTCTTATGTCTTGTCTCTATCCTAGGTGCTCTTTTCTCATCATCTCTAGCTTGCTTTTATTTACTAGACAATAATATAAAATTATAGTAACTAAGTTTTATTAAGCACTTTACTACCAGATATTGTGCCAAATGGATTTCTTTTATATGAATGGATTCTTTCATATGAATCTCAAAACATTCCTCTATAGTAGTAGTATCACACCTGTTGTATAAATGAGGAAAATGATGTTGAAAGAGAGGAAATAAATTGTGACCAATAAATTGGTCACAATTTATTCCTAGTCTTGGAGCTAGGAAATGTCCGAGCTGGGGTCATGCTGGGCTGACGTCAGAGCTCACGTGTTTGATGATTTCACTCTGCTGCAATCATAAGTCCTCCCTCCTATGCGTATTTATGCCTGTGTAATATGTGAGTCTGCCTTCCCAAGGCTGGGACCCTTATATCTGAACATCATCAACTTGTGGGGAGTCTTAATTTCCACACACTGTCTCTCATCACTGATGGAAATGGAAAGGCAGTGGAGTGAAGTGGAGAGATTATAAAATCACACTCTCAAGTTAGACCAACCAGAGTGAGAGGGCTGACTCAGCCATTTAGTTGGTCTGTGACTTGAGGTTAATTATTGCACATCTCTAAAACCTCGGTTTTGTTATATATAAAATGGAGGTATTAATGACAACTATCTTCCAGAATATTTGTAAGGATTAATAGATATAAGTAAGACTTGTAACACACACACACGGTACTTGGCCCAAAGTAAGCTTTCTATATATTTTATCTTAAAAATGGAAAAAGAAAAGAATAAAAAAAGTAACTAGAGTATAGCTTCTTTGGCTAAATGCTGTAGTGACAAAGACTAAGGGATGTTCTTTATAAATTTGCCTCTCTTTATCCTATTGCAAAGTTTTCTTCCTCCTGGCCAGAACTTTCCTTTTGGGAAACTACTGCTCCAAAAGAGGAGACACTTAGAGACTATGTAAGTGTAATGGATGTAATGATAATCGGTGTCCTAGGGACACTACATTTAAACATCTTTTCATGGTAAAGGGAAGAAAGGATGTGCATTCAATTCGCTTTATTTTATACCCACTTGCTTTATTTACAGGAGTATTTAAAAAATCCACATTTATTTAGCCTAAGAAGACTCAAGTGGTTGAAATATCTTACTCCAAGAGTGACTGTGATTTCCTGATATTTATTCATAAGAATAATGCAATTGTGATTTCATTTCCTGCAGTTAAGAGCATGCTGTTTTCACTTCCTTTGGCCAAGTAGTACATTCCCTACTTAGTAGCTAGATAACCTACAAAATTTGTAACTTTGAAAATCTGTTTCATCATCTATGAAAGAGGATTGGTGAAAAATAATTTATACATGGAAAAAATTAAATGAGCCAAGTTAGGAAAAGTGCCAATCTCAGTATTCAGCACATAGCAAACATTCAGTAAGCAGAAGTTCCTCTCCTTAGCATCTCCCACATGAAATATGCAACCATAGAGAAACTAATAGTCATTTTCAAATCAAATATGGACTAAACTTCTACATTAAATAGACAATCTTAACAGAACACAGTGGTATGCGATGAAAATTTCAGACCACACATAACGTGTGATTTTCCAAGTTTGTCCTTTATGGACAAATAACCAACACTTTCTGCTAAACAGATGTTACTTCTACATGTAACCAATTTGCTATTTTCTTTGTAGTTGTTGCTCTTCTTGTAAGTGGAACAATATGCTGGTTAAAAAGCTGTATAAAAACATAATATATCCTCAGATGGCAGGAGGAAATGAAAATAAAATATTTAAACTTTTATATTTATATTACTAAATTTTAAAAATCATAGCCATTCAGGAAGTACTATCCAGAGGTTTAGTGGGTACTTTGGACCGAAAATGATTTCCCCAGGTGCTCTACATATGGCAGGGCGCTTGACTGTAGGCCTCTGCACTCCTCTTGTGTAAAGAAACAATCTTGATTTAAAAGGTCCAAATAGCTTTAGATCTTTCTACACATCCATGGTGCAGAGGCATTTCATGTTTTTATGGAAATGTTGACCAAGACTAAGGCCAGCACAGTATATCAGTGTTAGTTATTAACTATACTCATTAATGAAATGCCTGGTTAAGTTTGTGTATAGGTTTCATTTATACATAATATCCTTATTATATTCAAATGCTCATCTCCTCATTTTAGAGTTATGATCTTTTATCAATGGCAGAGTTAGCCCATTAACAAAGGTGTAAGATGCCGATGAGATTCAGGGTTTGACTTCATTTTTTACAAGTGTGTCCTGATAATTGCTAGGACAAAAATATACTATGTGGTAAACACAATCAACGTTTTTGTTAAAATCAATCTAGGAGAAAAGTAGAAAGGGATCATAGTACTTCCAAAAGCATATATTACTATAAAAGGGATGAAAGAAAAAGATTAAAAGCAAAACTGCTGAAAAATATGAAAAGTAAATTCTTTGAAACTTTTGGAAAATTGACGGCACATGTCCTTATTGTGTTTCTACATTCTGTAATTGCATTTATCTGCTCATTTAACATTTTGTATTTCCATTTTCCAGGTCTTCCTCCTTCCCTTACTGAACTACATCTTGATGGCAACAAAATCACCAAAATTGATGCAGCTAGCCTGAAAGGACTGAACAATTTGGCTAAGTAATAATATTCTTTCATGATATTCTATCAGTAAGATGGCTATCTGTATTAGTGCCCACATGCTCAGAATTAGAAACATGCTGATGAATTTTTGACTGTACCACATTTTTTTGTTGTTATTGTTTATAACAACCTCAAACTTCAGCTTGCCCTGTTAGTTATTAAAAAGGAAAAACTAATGAAGTACTATACTTACCGTAGCCACCAAGATCAGCCTCATATTTTATGAGTACCATATTGCTTTTAGATTAATTAAGATATATCTTATGTACAAAGTATTTGATTAAATCAGTATGTTCATTCAATATGTTCTAACTTAGTTGCATTAAACAGAAAGATAAGTAAATTATAATACACAGTGTCTAGAATTTGAAAATGCATGAAATAAAAGCTACCAGGACATGGCAATGTTGGGCATCCCACACTATAGTATTAGAATAGTTATGAGAGATTCTCCAACCTCTGTTCTCTGAAGAGTTTAAAATGTCTCTAGACATTGAATGCAGTCTAACAAAAGAAAATTTTTTGTTTCTGGCTTTTCTTAACTCTTTTTTTCCTTATAGATAATCACTAGTGCCTGTCCTGCCTTCTAACCTAACATCAATCTTTCCATATTTGCAATCTGGTTAAGTAATAAAGAGGACAGGGCTGGCAAACGCTTTCAGTTGTCTTCAAGGAACACTCTGTTCTTGATCCACACATATTGCTGAGTGTTCCTCCAGAGGAGCACAGTGTTATGCCAAATTGACTCACCCTTCCTTTTGTAAATATATTTCATAGTAGATAAATAAATATAAAGTATATTATTTATCTTTGAGAAATACTAATACCAGATGGATATATAATGCAGCTTTTCCCATTTCTGTGGATGTTCCCCAATGATCCAGTGGATGGTGAGGGCTGACGATGAGCATATGCTTGTGACTATAGCTACAATATATTACCCTAGTGTCTTAAATGGTGAGAAACCCTTTATCCAAAGCTGTTTTAATTACAGTCTCTAATGTAGAAAATATTTTTCAAAATGGTGTTAGTTATCACCCACCTTTCATTGTTGATTAGGTCCCTCTAGCTGCAGAAAAATGTAGAAAGATACCCGGCATTGCCTGTTGTGTAGCATTGTCTTTAGGGCAGCTATTATCAGCAGGAGGAGGGGGAGGAATAGATGCAGGGATGAACAATCGTCTGAAGTTTTAAATATATGCCTTTTTAGAAAAAAAGTTTATTTTGTACTGAAAGTAGTATGGGAATTTTGAGATTATGCACTTTAATATTAGCATGATATGCTTTGTATCAAAGAGAAGCATAAGGAGCTTGTAAACTTTGAAAATGTCAATAGAAATGAAGATTTCTGTGTAAATGGATTTTGAATTCCCTTCATTAATTTAGACCAGATTGCCTCATTGGCCAAGCAAACTTTCCCAACTCTTGAATTTATCAAACACATTTCTTTTTGGAATCAAGTCAGAAAAATCTATTAAACCATCAAGTCCTTATGTTGTTTGCTCTTCAGTGATGTTGGAACATGAGAAGTATTTTGGTGCTGAAAATCAAAACTGTGAAAAGGAAAAAAAGGCAGAATATTGTTGCAGGGCAAATATTCCAATTAGTTATTAGGAACAAGTGGGGAGAAAATAGTGTATGTCCCTCTGCAAAAATATAAACTAGTTTTCAGGCAAACTTCCCTTTTCTTATGAAGTATACCTTATCATCTCCCTACTAAGTGAAATATTTTTTGCTGGAAAGAATCATGGTTTTTGAGTCCTGTGTCCTCTGCCCTCACAGGCCCAGAATAATGTCTTGAACATAGTAGGCTCTTAAAACATTTGATGATTAAATATGTAAATAAATCACTAAAAAAGTGAAGTTTCCTTGAGTAAATTATTATGAATGTTATACTCTAAGAAATGTATTAGCCCAAATTGGAGATGAGACTTGCAGTGTTGTAAGAAATAGAAGACAAATTCTGAAATAGAAAAGAAAAAGCCAGAAACAAGAGATGAATGCCTAAGACTAAGGGAAAAAGAAAATATTCTGAGCCAAGATGCCAGGTTAATAATCAATACCTAAGATAAATCAAGTGTGCTATTAATAGCTTAAAATCAATACACTTTCATCTCAGTTATTTTGAATATCAAGTCACAATTAAAATTGGGAAACTTTGGTTACCTAAGCCAACGTCTAAATCCACAAAGAGCTCAAAGATCGGAACTAGCTGAAGGTAAGCGGAAACCACCCTACAAAAAGTGCCTAAGTCTCTTACACTGTGTTTGAAGGAACCCAATAGATTCTTCCTCTTTTCCTCCCTTGAAGCTTTCTGGTTCTCTTCTATTACCTTGTTGCCTCATCCCTGGTATCCCTCTCTGCCCTTTTGGATTGACAGCACCCTGGTTTTGACAGAGATTCACCTCTAGAATGCTGAATACACCAGCTTTGTCTCCAAGTCAACTTCTTCTGACTTTTGAATCCCATTTACTATGAGGGAACATCATACCTGCAGAACTCTCACTTGCTATACATTTAATTAAAAAATACAACCCAAAACCTTAAGTGGCATTGTATGAGAAAGGTCAAAGGGGTCGAGGAACAGAAATCTATGTCAGAGATCAAGGCCAGAAGCCAGGAGTGTTCTCACTAGGCAAATTCTGACAGTAACAGATGGTCATTGATGAACTTTTTCAAACTAATGCAAAATGCTAATTCTGTTAACCTTTCTGGTAGATAGATTTATAGACTCATTTGAACCTTGTACCTTTTATTTCCCATGAATAAACTTATGTTATAAATATACAATTGCTTGATTTCTAAAGTGATCAAAATGATAATAGTATTCCTTTTATTTTTCTTCAAGTGAATTCACTACATTCATTATACATAGAAATCAATTCAACAGCTATTCATTGATCATATCATGCTCATGTTAGTACTGCTATATACCACAAAACAGTCACTTTTCTCAAGGAAAGACACAAAAGTACACAGTCCCTTGAGTTTTACACGAGGGTGACAACAGGATGCTCTATGAGCATTTACTAGGGGTACCTATCCAGTCTGGTACTGTCAGAGGAGTTTCAAAGAGGGTAATCTAAGCTGAAAGCTTAAGAACAAATGGGTTCTATCCAAACTCAGAAAGTCTGGAAAAAGCACTCTAGGCAGAGGGAACAGTAAGTGCAAGAACAAAAAACGTCCTTTTCTATTGACTTGATTAATCTAACAACACCTGTAAGAAGGCATCCATGTGCGGTATATGCATTCATTTCTGTTTTCTGTTGCAGGTTGGGACTGAGTTTCAACAGCATCTCTGCCATCGACAATGGCTCCCTGGCCAACACTCCTCATTTGAGGGAACTTCACTTGGACAACAACAAGCTCATCAAAGTGCCTGGTGGGCTGGCGGATCATAAGTACATCCAGGTAATGCAATGCCACTAACTATTGTGAGGAACATCTAGGGAGCAAATCCTCCCCACTGGGATGCTAGGAGGCGGGAAACTCTGCTTAGAAATCTTTTTGCAGAGAGATGGTTTTAATGTTTCCACATAACTATTCATTCAGGTTTTGAGAAAAATGCAGGTTTAAATTATTATTTTTTTTTTAAGTTAGGACTATTGCCTTGAACTTACTATAATGCTTGCTTCCAGAATGTGATATTTTTCATGAATCCAGGTAGTTTCAAATCACAGATCAGTGTAACAAATACATACTGATTGGAAAAGATGATATAACCTGTGATGCATAGATATGGAATAAAGCAGTAGTTTTAACTTTTAGCTTCAGCAGATGTCGTAGAGATCAAGAGGGAATGTTTATCTAGCAGTGTGACTGAATTAACTTTATATAAATTATCAAGTTAAAATGCATTCATAAAGATAAGAAGATATGGCTCAGTGGTCCACTGAAGTAAAAGAGCTTTGCAGTCTGTAAATCTATAAATGTCAGGCATGCTTATTAGTTTAAATAGTGATAGTAATTTCATATATAACAGTATAAGACTTCCATTGTTACTTTGAGGAAATAAAACAAGCATGTCATTCAAATTATATTATTTTTAAAAAATTAAATAGTGTGGTCATCCACAGATTTTACACATTTGCTTATTTTATGTAATTTTTAAATTTTCTTAAAGGTAATATTTCAATTTTTTTTTTCAGAAATTTACATAGGTACTTAGTTCAATCGTGGTGATTCAGAAACTATACCTTGACACTGGCACTCTCTTATAGATAAAACCATTTTATAAAGTTGTTCTTTGGGTAATCTAGTATCTCAACTTCTTTGCCTGGAGTTCAAGATAGGTTTATCTTTTACTTTGCTGTCAACAATGTCAATAAATTACTGATTTCATTTTTTTTATTGAGTTGTAACAAAAACTCCAAGTTAAATTGATATATCATACTTTACGTTAGCTGGATTTCAATAAAGTGTCTGAATTATAAGTATGAAGATGAAACTTAAAGACATTCTAATTCATTCTGGTTCTTTTTCAGTGGGTCTTTAGTTGTGGTAGAATAGTGAGTAAGCAGAGTTTGAAGCCATAAGTAAAACCAAGATGCTTAGAAGACCTATCGAAGAATAGCTATCAATGTTACTATCAAGGTTTTTGTTGGTGGTGGGTCTTTTTATTTGGGAGGGGAGGTTGCTTTTGTTTTTAGATTTCAGAATAATCATTTTCACCTTCTTGATCACTGTTTTTCAAATGTCAATCTGGACACATTGATGAGTTCATAAAATCAGCTGAATGGGTTCATTAGGAACATTTATGGGATGGGATGGGGTGACATGGGATGCCATAGGGTAGAATAAGTTGAATAGAAAAGAAAATATCACTGTAACGGTAAGTATTTCATAAAAATTTTGTTTCATATGCATAGATTCATATATACTAAACCTCAATATATAATGTTTCTTATTGTCGGTCACAGAGAAAAAATTATAAAACATGTTATTTTGAAGTCTTTGAAGTCTCATGGGAATTCACAGGACCCCACATTTAGAAAGGCCTCACTCTTGGGTTTCCATCTCTAACTGTCCATGTACCCATTTTACCTCCCTTCCTACAGTCTCCTGGGGATTTCACTTACTCTACTTCCTTTTCTATAAGTATGTAGTTCAATTATTTTTACCAAATTTATATAGTTGTTCAATTATCACCACAAACTAGTTTAGGACATTTCTATTGCACTCAAAATATCCCTCTTATCCATTTCTAGTCAGTTCTCAATCTTATCCCCAGCCGATGGGAATCATTAATCTACTTTCTGTCTCTGTGGATTTGCCTTTTCTGGACATTTCATGTAAATGGAATCATACAATGTGTGGCTTTTGTGTCTAGCTTCTTTCACTTATCATAAGGATTTTAGGTCATCCATATCATAGCATGTGTCAGTAGTTCATTCATTTTTATTGGTAAATAGCATTCCATTGTATGGATATACCATGTTTGGTTTGCTAGTATTATACCTTTTGGTTACTGCAACTTTTGATCATGTTTTGAAATTAGAAGTGAAAGTCTTCTAACTTTGCTTTAATTTTTCAAAACTGTTTTGGTTATTCTTGTTCCTTTGCATTTCCATATAAACTTTAGAATCAGCTTGTTCATTTTTGCTAATATAGCCTGCAAGGACTTTGATAGGGATTGTGTGGAATCTATAGATCAATTAGGGAAGAATTTTCATCTCAGTAGTATTGAGTCTTCCAATTCACAAACATGGAATATCTCTATTTTATCTCCTTTAACTTCTCACAGCAATATTTTGTCATTTTTAGTGTAGAAGTCTTACAATTCTTTAACTAAGTTCCTTCTCAAATTTTGTATTATTGTTGATGCTGCTGTGAATAAATTGTAACCTTAATTTCATTTTTGAATTGTTTGTTGCTAGTATGTAGAAATGCAATTGATTTTTGTATATCAATCTTCTATCTCAATACTGCACTGAAATTGTTTTTAGTTTCCGTATTTTTTGTGCATTCTTTTGGATATTCTACATTCAGAATCATGTCATTTGTAAATAAACACAGTTTTAATTATTTTCTTTCTGAATTCCTTTAATTTTTTTTCTTGCTTTATTGCACTGGCTAGAATCTCCAGTGTGATGTTGAATAGAAGTCATGAAATTAGACACCTTTGCCTTGTTCTCTATTTTAAGAGAGGGTTGGGCAATCAATGTTTTACCATTCAGTGTGATGTTAGCTATAGGTAGATGCTCTGTATCAAGTTGAGAAAGTTCCCTTCTATTCCTAGTTATTGAAAACTTTTAGCATGAATGTGTGTTAGATTTTTTTCAGATGCTTTTTCTGTGTCTATTAGATAATCGTGTGGTTTTGTCCTTTATTCTTTTAATATGGTATGTTAAATTGGCTGATTTACAATTAAACCACTTTTATATCCCTGAGATAAATCATGCTTGGTCCTGGTCATGGTGTATAATCCTTTTATATGTTGTGAGATACAGTTTCCTAATATACTGTTAAGGTACTTTTCTCTATATTCACATGAAACATTTGATTTCATTTCATTTTGTGAAGATTTTTGTTTGGCTTTAATGTTAGGAAATATTGACCTCATAGAATGAGTTGGGAATCTAATTTCTTTTTCTACACAGACTAATACTTGCTCTATGTCTTGATATTTTCTTCTCTCACCTTCAATATTAGTCATAAACTCTCACCAAACACTTCTCCTCTTTCTTGCTAATCACTGCTAGGAAATAGAGAACAGTAAATGACAACAATAAATTTTCAATGTTTCAGAATCATTAAAAAAAAAGACTCAGAGGTATTGTCTTGATTTTAATATTCCTTGTTCCTGTTTTTGTATGACCTCTGTTGTTCTCCTTCTAAACTCTTTCTTAAACAAGGCCCTTTTCACCAATGTATGAGTGTGTGTTCTAATAGGTAGAACAACATTTCAAGTCAGTTATTTTAAGGGAACATCTCATAGGCTTTATAGCTCGCTTTAGGAATTGTTACCTTAGAATTATCTTTTAGCCTTGGTTGTATGATAAGTCACTTCTTGCCCTTTAGAATTCACATCAACATAATGGAAGAAAGACCTTATTTCTAAAGTCCTGTTTGTAAGTCTGATATTTAGTTTCCCTAAGAAAATCTGTGAACAAATTATCATTATCCTAAATATAATTACAAAATATATTTCAGAAAAAAATTCTAATGAACTATAGCATTATATTCATCGAGTAGAATTTGTAACATAGAATAAATTTTTGGTAAAACTTTCTAGGTGTATTTATTCCAAATGCTGTGACACTCAAGTATTTCTTAGAGTTTGTGATTCTTTATTTGAATTCCAATACTGTACACCCTCTTTTTCTTCACTATATATTACTTCCTCATTTTATATAATTTTATTAAAATGTCTATCATTTTATCTTTGTCCTGAAAACATAATATTCCATGTAGACATAATTTATGAAATAATCATGAATTCATTCATTTATTCATTCAATGTATATTTATTGAACACCTACTCTGTTGTAGTAGACACTGGAGATACTGTCATGAACAAAAGAGAACAGATTTCTCTCCTCATGGAGCTTTTATTCCGGAGGAGGCAAACAGACAAAAAACAAATAAATACATAATATGCTATATAGTGGTAACTGCTATGAAGAAAAATAAAGAAGTATAATTGGGACAGAGAAAGGCAGAATGGGATGGTCAAGGAAGACTTCTCAGGTAAGGAGAAATTAATTACATGAAGCACTAAGACTTGTATACATCTTGGAGGAAATTATCCCAGGTGGAGGGAACAGTATGTACCAACCTGAGGAGGAACCATGCATTATGTAGTAGAAGAGAGGCAAGTGGGTCAGGGTGGTTGGATTGAAGAGTGAGGGGAGAGGAAGTCAGAGCAGAATGGTGTCAGATCAAGTAGGATTTATAGTCCATTGTGATAACTTTGGATTTTATTCTTCAGGAGACGGGAAACCACTGGAATGTTGAGGCAAAGAAGACATAACTTGGTTTACTTTTTTAATTAATAGCTTTATAAACTAAAAAACAGAAAGAATAGACTTTAGGAAGGCAAAAGAGGAAGCAAGAACAATCAAGTCAACTTCAGTAATCCAGAAGGGATAGCTGTGGCTTTGAACACGGTTCTAGGAGTAGACCTGGGACAAGAACCGGGTTGTATGTACATTTTGAAGGTTGAGCTAGCAAGACTTGTTGATGGTTAGGCAGAGAGTATAAGAGAAAGGGAGGGTCAAAGATAATGACAATGATTTTAGCCTGAGCGTCTGGAATGATTGAGATGCTATATACTGAGATGAGGAAGACTAAAGAAGAGAAAAACAAATTTAGAAAGGAAGAGAGAAAGTTTAAATCAGAAGTTTAGTTTGAGAAGTGTTAAGGTATCCAAACTGAAAGATGAAAATACTAAAAAGGAATAAAGTATTTACATGAAGAGCCTCAATATATTTAGAGGAAACTAATCATTCTCCATTATTTCACGTTGCAGGTTGTCTACCTTCATAACAACAATATCTCTGTAGTTGGATCTAACGACTTCTGCCCACCCGGATACAACACCAAGAAGGCTTCTTATTCGGGTGTGAGCCTTTTCAGCAACCCAGTCCAGTACTGGGAGATCCAGCCATCCACCTTCCGGTGTGTCTATGTGCGCTCTGCCATTCAGCTCGGAAACTACAAGTAACTCCCAAGAAAGCCCTCATCTTTATAACCTGGCAAAATCCCATTAATGTCATGCTCGAAAAAAAAAAATGAAGGCTAGATACTGGAAACCTAACTGCAATGTGGATGTTTTTCCCACATGACTTACTATGTATAAAACCAAATATGCAGTTTAAATAATTGCCTCCAATAAAAAAAAATTTTGCCTGCCATATTTTCAGAATCCTTCTTTGAAGCTTTCTGTTGATGTTAACTAAGCTATTACAGATATTCTTATTTCACTAAATGTAAAATTTTGAGTAAATATACATGTCAACAATTTAGTAAAGCTTTTCTTTTTTAACTTTCAGAAGGAATCAAATTTTAAAAGTATCAATGTTCTGTAACTCATAGAGTGGCTAGCTCCTTTGACAAAAAGTCAAACATCAAACTCTAACTCTGTATTAATCCCTGTTATTACTGGTAAAGCCTCATTTGAATGTGTGAATTCAACACAGGCTATGTAAAATTTTTGCTAATGTCATTATTTTGAAAAAAATAAATTTACAAATACATTCAAAATGACTATTGTATAAAAGCGTAATTGTAAATCTTCCCTGAACTCAACTGTCTGAAGCTAGTAGACATTGCTTTCTTGATAAAAATAGCACATCTTTTCAAGTTCTTAGATATTTCTTCTACCCTGTTCTGTAACATTTGTGTATTGTAACTTACACGATCTATATTCCACGCTAAGCTGATAAGGCAAAGTTGAATTTTTCTTTTTTTTTATTATGTTATTGACATCACATTGGTTTTGGACTTTTTTGGATTGGTCTAGAACTGATATTTTCAGTTACTAAGATACTAAATCAATTTTAAAATTATCATATGTATAATCAGGCTGCTCACCTGAATATTTCTATAATTACTAGATGTATTAGAAACATTTATTGCCTATAGTTAAACCTTCTATTTTAGAAACTTTTTCTGCAAAATTTAGACACAACTCTCAAAGCAGACCACTCAACAGCCTGTGGAATGGGCTGATTTACCAAGACTAAATATGTATCAAATAGTACATTTATGCTATCAACATCTAATAAGCAACCATTTGAAGGCTTTCTTCTACAACACTGGATGTTTTATGGTTGCAAATGCTGAAAACCAAATCTAAACTGGTTTAAACTATAAAGGGAAATACAAAACACTTCTGCTATTAGATGAGCTGTTACGTATAGTCTGATCAGAGCTCTAGTGAGTTTCTCTACAGTTGTTTCAACTTTGCCTTCCTTCATTACATTTCAGGCTGGCTTCCCTTAGGGTTGCAAAATATGAATCTCCCCCATTATTTACCCCACTCAGAACACAAAAGCATATTAACGCAAAATTTCCAGAAAAATTCATGAGATCCTCTCTAATTGTTATATACCAACTCCACAACCCTATAGAATAAATGAATAAATATTTATTCTCAGTTTTCAGAAAAGTAAACTGAGGCTAGGAGAAATTAAATACCTTTCCTGTAGTTAAAAATCTGATAAATATCTGGCACCAGAGCTTTCTCCCTTAATATTTGTACAAGTCCGAGTCTGGAAGAAAACCAAATTTACCCCAGAGAGTTCAAATGAAGATAATTTAATGAAGGGATTATTACAGAGTGTACACAGAATTTACTGCATCAAACAAGGGATGGTGAGGTACCCAGAGATGGGCAATGGTGGAAAGTCATTTCCATCCATATGGCTAAATGGACAGGGGAAGAAATTAAGCTTCTGGAGCCAAGGGAGAAGACACCTGTGGAGGATTTCTGTGCCCAGGGAGCTATGTTCCTGGAGGGATGCAACTTCTACCAGAGGTGAGATAGTGAGGCAGGGTATCCACCTTTCTCTCCTTCTACTTCAGACTCCCTTCTACTTCAGATCCTCCCACTGATCAAACCGAACGGGAAGATAACCATCAGGAAAACCAGGGAGATGAAGCCTCCTCCTGGGTCAGGGCAGAGAGGAGGGGAAAATGAATCTGTCCAGGGCACTCAGAGAATAACTAGCCCAGGACTATAGTTATATCTACAGGATTATTGAAGAAATTACACCAGCACAGATAAGCTTTATGTTCACCTTATATGTCATCCTAGGCACTTTTTCTGAATCTCAATTATTTTAGACTTTCTGCATTGATCAGAGGTGAAAATAAATAAAAAATATTTGATGAAACTGTGTCAAATGATTCGCTGAATCTGGTTGTCCATTATGAATCACCAGACTATTTTTTTTTTTTTGCTGGGAAAGAGTCGCCCTGAGTTTACAACTGTTGCCAATCTTCCTCTCTCTTTCTTTTTTTTTCCCTCCCCAAAGCCCCAGTACATAGTTATATATTCCAGTTGTAGGTCCTTCTAGTTCTTCTGTGTGAACCACACCATGGCTACTGACAGACAAGGGGTGTGGTTCTGCTCCCAGGAACTGAATCCAGGCCGCCGAAGCGGAGCTCACCAAACTTTAACCACCAGGCCATCAGGGCTGGCTCCAGACTAATTTAAAATGGCTACGACTAAAGCAGAGTTTACTTATTTAAAGAAATATGGTTAGTGTTAAAAACCAAAGTGTAAACAGAGAACTGGTAGTCTCAATATTAATGAGCAGTCAATTATGTATTATATGTTAATTTGATGGAAAATAAAAATAATATTTGGAAAATCGTGAGAATCAGAGCATAGAGCTCTAAGCTGCGACAGTTAAAGGCATATTGTCCGTTACGCCAGTTACTGGCTGAAATGTATAAAGCTTTGTATGAGCTATTTAATTACATGCTGGACTTTCATGAAGTGATCATGTTAGTGATATTTATTCATAGCCTTGTATCAGGCAATAACTGGGAGAGGCTATTTATTGATTTAGCTTCATTCATTCATTCATTGAATAAACTAGCACTGAGTATATTGTAGACATGAAATAACTCCTGGAAGCAAGATGAAAACAACAACAACAACAGGTATTTATTTCTGGAGTTTATTCAGTGTACACAAATCGCCAGCTTCTGTGCTAGACTTTTTTGGACTACGTCTTTACTTATCGCAAAAATCCCATAAGAATATATGATTTCCATTGCACAGATGATGAAATTGAGATATAGTAAATGCAGAGTCAGAACTGTAACCCTGATCAACCCTGATACGTGCTGATCCTGTTAGGGTCAGCCTCTGCTTTTGCAATAGTTTATACAACTCATAGCATGTCAAGACCAAAGATGGTAATATTAAAAATTAAGAAGGTAATCTATTCATGGTACTTAACAGTTCCTCTGCATTGAGTTAATATGTTAGGGTCTTGAGGTTCAGGTGCCATAAAGATAATAACTGTCACTTATTGAATACTCTGTCTCAACTGTATATACAGTATCTCATTTAATACTTACAATAGTCCTGTGGGCTATGTATGGCTATTTAATATCCCTTTTACAGAAGAGCAAATGGAGCCCCAGAGAAGTCAAGTAATTCTCCCAAGAATACACAGCTTGTAAGTAAGAAAGACAAACTTTCCATCACTTTATTATGTTGCCTTCTGCTACTTTACAAAAGAATAATACTCATATCCAACAATGAAGAATCACTGAACACCCACAGTATTTTCTATCTTCTTTGCAATATTGTGCAAGGCTATAAATTAATGGGTAATCCCACCAGTCTGAATTAGTGTTGTTACATTTCAAAAAGGATGAATTTGTTCATAAAAATTTGAAAATAGTCTACAACAACACTGTTCAATTTTGAAAATGTTCTCTATCAACATTCTATGTCCAGTACTGTATTCACTAGCTACCTATGGCTATGGAGCACTAGAAATGAGATAGAAATGAAGAACTGAATTTTAAATTTTATTTAATGAATTTAAAGTTAATAGCCATATGAAACTAGTTGGTATCATATTGAATATCATATTCTAAATACTCCCAATGAGTTTAAATATGACTTTCATGGTACAGAAATCCATTTCTACCCATGCAAAAATATTTACTAGGCCCATGCTAGACACTGAGAATATAAGAATGAATAAGATGCCATCCTTGACTTTAAAGTGATCATAGTTTAACAAAGGACACAATCATGTAACCAAACAGTAGAAATACAGAAAGATAAATTTTATTATAGAAATATATGGAAATTACAGCAGAGGCTCAGAGGAGGGGGGATAAGTTGTGCCAAAGGTAGCAGAATGAGCACAGAGGAACATGGAAGACTTCACTGAGGAGGTAATGGGTGAGGTGGGTTTTGATGAATGCATAAGAGTTCAACAGGGAGATTTGGGGGAAGGGACTATTCAAGGCAAAGAGTAAGTCCAAAGACACAGAGGTGTGCCTCACCACATCTTCTCTGATAGGCTGGCATAAAGGAGGGCTTACTTAGCTTCTGTACCTTCTTCTGAAGCAGAGCGAATAGTTTACATTTACATTTGATATACATAGAGCTAAGGATAACATTAGGGGCAGCCACCTTAATTCCTCTTTCCACAGTCTTGCTGGGCCACAGAATATTAATTGCCCAGATTGTTCAATGGGAGGGAAGAAATGTCTTTCTTTTTCTTCTCACTTACACCTCCCAAGAGATCCCACTGTCACAACTACAGTGAAAAGTAGTTTCTATTGGAAGCCATTCAGATGTTCAAGGTCCACGTCATCACTAGGTACTTTTTCTCAGAGCTGGACCTTCAGTGCTTCACTCTCCTCTCTAGTCCTGCATCCTCCATGTTGTGGCCTTCCTCTTGGGGGGGAAAAGCTTGCAGTCACCCTGCTGCTTAAGAAGCTACAACTGCATGAGGGATGGGTGGAGATAGAAGGACAGGGAAGACCATTTTGGACTTTCATCTGCAAGACGGATCTTCCAACACATCTTTCCAACAGCAGTAAAGATGTTTTTAGTTTTGTTCAAGATCAACAGAAGAGAGAGTCCTGATCTTTCAGCACCCTCCCTCAAGTATCAACACAACTTCTTTCTTATATATCTTTCCTTTGAAGTAAAGATAAATGTGGCTCATTTCCTTGACTTCAACACTTGCTATTTGCATGACTTAGGAAAGTTACTTAACCTTTCTATGACTCATTTCCCTATCTGTAAA